GTAGCTGGGGCACCATTTAGAAAAAAAGCGACCTTCCAGATGAACGACTTGACGTTGAGGGAGCGGTCCTTTGCCTCAGCCCACCTACCTTCGCCTGGATCTCGGAACGTCGCCGCCATGCCCACGTGAGTCGCTTGGCAGGATAGCAGGGTTACTTTAGGATCGACACTAACTTCTTTATAAAACCTCAATTTCAGGATTAATGGAATGCCACATCTTCTGGTCGCCACCACCGAGGGCTTCCTCTATTGCTACCGCATCGAGCACGACGGCGGCGAGTGCCATCTGGTGCGACAGCATCGGATTGGTAAGTAAAGGGCTTTTTATCGATATTTAAAGGGATGCCGACGGCATGTGTCGATCCCCCCCATCAACAAATTGGCAAGTAGCCAACAGGGGAGAGAGCGCGCCCAGGGGAGAGGCGCAGAGACATTTTCTTTCCCGCGCGTAATCGATTGACTTATGCCGTCCTTATCTCTTTAAACCCCGGCAAAATTACATAATCTTTTATGGATTTTCAGGACCCCAGAACAACGGCTCCGGGAAGCAGGGAAGCCCTTCCGGATCGGCCGGATCGAATCGAAGTGGCAGGCATGCTGATGGGGTGAGTGTTCTCTGCTAGCCCTGCCCTCTCCTCTTCCTCAACAATCTCTGCTAGCCCTGCCCTCTCCTCTTCCTCAACAATCTCTGCTAGCCCTGCCCTCTCCTCTTCCTCAACAATCTCTGCTAGTCTGCCCTCTCCTCTTCCTCAACAATCTCTGCTAGCCTGCCCTCTCCTCTTCCTCAACAATCTCTGCTAGCCTGCCCTCTCCTCTTCCTCAACAATCTCTGCTAGCCTGCCCTCTCCTCTTCCTCAACAATCTCTGCTAGCCTGCCCTCTCCTCGTCCTCAACAATCTCTGCTAGCCGGCCCTTAAAATCCATTTTCCAGGCCGACCCCCCGAACCCGAACGACATTGCCGACTTTCCGCCGATGACGCACAGCAGCGGATAACCTCTAGATTTGCCATCCTGACGATGTTGTAGTTTGTAGCCCAGCCAAAAGCTTAGCCTAAAATAGTCTCTGCTAGCTTGCCTCGGAAATTCTTGCCAAGCTACAAACTACAACCCAGTCCCGTCTTCACAAATTCCGTCCACACACTATGTCAAACTTGATAATTCCGCCCTTTTTCGAGGTCATTTATGCGTTGCGTGTATCGTCCTGTACTCCTCGACCAGTCTTCAGACGTCTCTGGGATCTGTCATTCTGTCGACTCTGCCCCATTTTGGCCCCATGTATAGAGTATTCCCAGGGTCATACTTTTTGTAAAAATCATCTGTATTTTCGGCTTTATCAACGTTACATTAATGCTGATTTTTATGGTCCGCCTTACCCATTATATTGTCTTTTCCCCTCAAATCTCATCGATGCGCACTGATAAATAATGCTGGTCAACGTGATTTGCATAAAATTGGCAGAAAAATAAGAAAAAATAGAAGTACAAACCCGAGAATTCGGAAAATTCGGAAAAGCTAAGTTGATTTTGCCGACTTCGATCTGCCGACTTCGATCTGCCGACTTTTTAGACCAAAATTTTCCAAATTTTCGACCTTTTGCAAACAAGTTTCTACCTTTTTAAACTTTTTGTGTTTTAAATATAGTTAAAATTCACCAAAAACATGTAAAAACACTTCATATTTACTAGGCCAACCGGGGTCTCCGGGAAAAATTTTATTAGTCGCAGAAATCCCGGAACAAATCGGCCAGCTATGCAAACAGCAGGATCATGGCCTGGGGCCCCAAAATTAGAGCCTCGTCAAAAAATTGGCCATGCTCCGACTTTTCATTTTTACGATTTTGTTTCCTACCGTACTCTTTCTTACGATATGCCCGACGACGCGGAGAACGACGAGGAAAGTGGGTATTTCTGGGCAGGCTAGCAGAGATAATTGAGGAGGGTTTTAGCTGACGACATCCACATCAACAACTACGACCACTACAATGACCACGACAAGTGCAATAAGTCAGTGCCAAACTCAGGGCTTGGAATACGATTTAAATGGCGTTGTAAAATTACTATTTTTCTTTTGAGGATATTTTAGATCTCGAGAAAAAAAATTCCACTCATCTTCAGGTTGCGCCTCATGCCGTCCGGAGCAGATTACGGTAGAAAATTCTACAACTGAGTTTACAATTGTAAGTTTCAGGAACTGGCTTTTGTTCAATTCCCACATTAATGTTTGTATTTTCTGGCCTGTAATTTCAAATTTTAGTCAGCACAGGAAATCGTCGTTTTGTAGTTTGTAGTAACTAGACAAAAACTTGAATTTCCAGCCCTTCGCCTCGGACATCATCTCAGTCGATGACACGACCGGATGCAAAATTCGGACCTTCACCTGCACCGGAATAACTCTGAACGTGGTCATCATTTCGGTGGGCAGGCCAGCAGAGATTGTTGAGAAAGAGGAGAGGACAGGCTAGCAGAGATTGTTGAGGAAGAGGAGAGGGCAGGCTAGCAGAGATTGTTGAGGAAGAGGAGAGGGCAGGCTAGCAGAGATTGTTGAGGAAGAGGAGAGGGCAGGCTGGCAGAGATTGTTGAGGAAGAGGAGAGGACAGGCTAGCAGAGATTGTTGAGGAAGAGGAGAGGACAGGCTAGCAGAGATTGTTGAGGAAGAGGAGAGGGCAGGCTAGCAGAGATTGTTGAGGAAAAGTCGGCGATTCTAGGTGAATTTTGATGACTACACGCAAGGGGACATCACCTCGACTTCCGTCACATTTCAATGCAATGCCGACGGCGTCTGGCAGTATACGGTAGCTTTAAGAATTTTTTAGTAGCTTGTTTTTAGGTCGACCCGAACGAGCCGCTCCTATCGACATTCATCGTGAACTCCGTGCTCTGTGAAGACGTAGGGCCCTAATTGTCTGATCGCATTTCTTGCGTATAAAGGTATAAATGTGTATAAAGTTCAGACTGCATCGATTATTGCGTAAAATAATGTTTCGAGCTTAAATATCATTGCGCGGACGGATAAACGTGTAGTTGGACGCCTTTTCCGTTTTGTTTGCTCAATCTTCGTTTTAGGAATTTTTATCAATGAAAAGCGAATCGAAATCGAATTGTCCCGTATTTCCAATCAGTGTTTAAAATCCTGAACCGTTTGCGTGACGATGAGGACGGTCATGATCGTGGCGACGGCGATGCCGATCATCCACGGGATTAGCACGTGTTTTCGCTGCTTGGCCCATCGCCAGCCCCGTGAGACACGGTCCTGTGATTCGTAAGCAACGTAGCCTGGAAGATATGTGAACTTACCACGCCTAATCTAAGTCTAAGCTTAACCTAAGTCTAAGCCTAAGCTAAGCCTAAGCTAAGCCTACGCTAAGCCTAAGTTAAGCCTAAGCTAAGCCTAAGCTAAGCCTAAGCTAAGCCTAAGCTAAGCCTAAGCTAAGCCTACGCGAAGTCCAAGCCAAATCCTAAGCTAAGCCTAAGCATAAGCCCCTCTGCTAATCATTTTATGAAGCTCACTGTATTGCATGGGTTTGTAGTCGTCGTAGAAATCGTAGCGTGGGGCGACGTCGTTGAAGACTTCTTGCGAATGGATCGTATTTAGGCGTGTACTGTAATTTTAGAAATTGCTGTTTAAGTAGAGAAAGGTTACCGTCGTGTTTCCTTCACTCTGGCCGCTTTCCGGACCGGAGCCATGGGGAGACGACGTTGGTTTTGGAGCTGAAAGATGGAATTAGAGAGAGAGAGAGCGAGAGAGAGAGAGAGAGAGAGAGAGCCAGAGGAAGAACGAGTAAGAGAATGAGAGAGTGAGTGAGAGAGAGAGACCTGCAGATCGCCGATACAAACGCTGCTCGAGTGCCGCCTTGAGGCCAGTAGCGCCGGGTCGAGGTGCTGAAAAAGTGTTATTTTTCCTGGTCTTATCACCCACCCTCGTAAAAACAAGATAACTAAATAGCTACTTTCCCCAAACAGTCTCTGCTAGCCTGCCCCTCCTCAAAAACTACGCACAAATCCGGTGGACATCGAGTCGAGATGTGTCTGGTTGTCGTGCATCGTGTGGCCACGGGCCCGCCCCGGCTGCTTTAGATAGTGGCTGGCCATCTCAGGCTAGAATTTTAAAATTTAATAAATCTGTATTTTAGATTAGTACTTAATAGATAATAGAAGAATTACCGGTATTTAATAGATTAAAAACTCTGGCTGGCTGAATAGGCTCCACCTTGGCAAATTGCCACCGTTTACGGGCACCGGACGCCGATAAGCCGGCGCTTCTTCGGTCAATAGCAGGAAACGGATGGCTTGGTATGAAGCCAGGGATCGGCAAATATTAGACGGCGCTTCTCGGTTAACGGGGGGAAGCTAATTTCTATTTTTTCGTCTGTTAATAATCAATAGAGCACTTTCACAATGTTTTAGTAGCTTCTGATTGCTAGAAAACTATAAAAACTTTTTATTTAGAAAAATCGCAATTGTTTTTCCTTTCCCTTTTTGGCCATTTTTCATACATTTTTGGCCAAAAAGTCAAAAATTTTCGAAATAAAATTTTTTGAATATGGTTTTTATATCTAAAAACTGTGTAAAATACTATAAAATGGTTTATGGTTCGTTATCCGTAAGGAAATAATGGGCAAAAATTGGTTCCCCGTTAATAAGGAAGCACCCACATTTCATGATTTTTAGTCTTTCCCAATTAAAACAAATACAGTTCTCTGCTCCGATCCCTTGTTTTAGCTAAACGCCAGCCAAGCTCCGGTAATAGACGCATCTTTAGTAATTTAAAAATGTCCTACTTGTTTACCTTCTTTTATTACTTATTTTTTAAGAATATTCTTTTTGGTTTTATTATTTTTGCTTCTTTGATCAAGATTTCAAGCTCCCTCGCTGTTGCCTCGTCGATAGGAATGCCGCGTTTTTCACAGGGTCCTTTTCCTAACCTAAAGGTCCCGAGAAATTTTTCTAAAACTTCAACGAAACCCTTCGAAACTCGTTGCTTTCAAAAATAACAAAATTCCAGATGCCCAGCTCGGGAAAGTTGAAGACGCGGAAGCGGCGGGCCGATGCGGTGAAGCCGGCCGCCGAGCTAGAAGCCGGGGATGACGACCCGAATGCAGTGATGCTAGGTAAAAAACGAGGAGTTTCCATTAGAATTGACCATTTTTAGGCCCGAAAAAGAAGAAGGTTAAAAAGGCGGCCGACGAGAAGCAGACCAAGTACAACCTGAAGCGTCGCGCGATGAAGGAGCGCAAAGAGGCCAAGCTCACCAAAAAGGCGCGCAAGCAGCTGGCCGCCGTGGCCAAGCGGAAAGAGGATCGACAAACGGTATGAGAATCGTATGTTTCGATGCTTTAGGAGCCCCAGGATGACCAAAATTTTACGCCGGGGACTAATATAGTAAAAACAATGCGATTTTTCGACCAAAGGGGGCCGATTTTCGTCACAAATTGACCAATTTTGGATTTTACGCTTTTCTAAGCTTTATGATATATTTTTTGCATTGAATATAGTTAGGTTTTGTCAAAAATACTGTTGAAATTTCGTCAACATTGACCAAGCTCGGATTTTAAGCTTTTTTAAGCTCTTAAAATGTCTTTTTTTTACATTAAATTGAGCTAGGTTTTGTCAAAATATAGTCTATAGCCTAATCCCCCCCCCCGAGAAGAGAAAGCACCTATTTTTCAGCTTACTTTCTTATTTTTAGAGAGACGAACTGCTCGAGGAGCTCTACAAGGTACAGCTGGACCCCTCGGAATCGGCAAAACTCGCCTCGGTGACGCAGTTGAGGAGGAAAAAGCACGGGAAAACGATCCCGGAAAAAGAAAGGTTTTTGGAATGAATTTTAGAGAAAGTTTTCCTTTTTTAGCTTCGTGATCAGCGACGAGAAGGACGTGGGCGAGCTGCGAGTGGTGAAGCAAAAGATCCGCGTCGCCGAGACGATCCACAACCGAGCACGAGTGCAGGAGGGCTACTACTCCACGGGCAGCGAGGAGGAAGATGAGGATGAGGAAGAAGAGGCGGAGGCGGAGAAAGACGAAAAAATGGACGATCGAGAAGTCCAGGCCACGAATCCGGAAGTTGTGAAAGCTCCGGAAACGCCGGTTGAAGCTGCCAAAGTCGAAGAAACGGTGAGTGGTTGATTTATTACATAGTTAAAAGTCAGAAAATGGATTTATACAAACTGAAAACAAAGAAAACTAATATGTATAGAAAGCAACCTCCTTTATTCCAGAAACCCCAGCTGCCGCTCAAGCAATCCCGCGAGGTCGACGACGATTTGCCGGCCATCAGCTCGAGCGCCACCAATTCGAAGGCTCCAACTGGGGTATTTTTTCAAATGTTATGAAAATTGCTTGATTTCAGCTGAAACCGATCGTTGTCGAGACGCGCGACCCCGAAATCGAGGTCCAGCGCCAAAAGCTGCCCATCTACAAGGAGGAGCAGCCGATCGTTGAGGCGATCCACGAGAATTTGGTAATTTTTGAAGTGAAAAAATCTATTTAGGTGTGAAAAACCAAGGTTTTTCAACCCGATTTTCCAGAATTTTTGTAAAATTTTGGTCTTCAGGTGACGGTGGTGAACGGCGAGACGGGCTCCGGAAAAACTACGCAAATTCCACAGTTCCTCTACGAGGCCGGCTACACGGCGCTGGGAATGGTGGGCCTTTGATAGAAATGAATCGTTCTTTCGCATTATCGGGGATCAAATGTTTTTGTATAAGTTTCGAAGCACCTATTAACTTAGTAATTTGTATTTTAATAGTGTTTTTAGTAAAATCGAACTATATTTCGGCTTGAAAACTAGCTAAAAGATCGAAGTTTTTGTCAAAAATGAACATTTTTCGACGAAAAATCTTTATTTTTGCATTTTTTAATAAAATTTTGGAAAGTTTTTACGTTTAGGTATAATAAAAAAATAGTTTCGAAACACGCCACTATTTTGATGGGATAAATTGGATACCACGAAAAAAAATTGTTCCCCCCGAAAGTAATTTCGTATTTAGCGAAAGAAAATTGAGTTTAACAAACATTATGAGAAATCCGAAATTGTTGTAATATTACTGTCAAATTTTTGCTTTATTTTGTATTTTATAAATCCTTAAAACCAGGCGAAACCATTTTAGAAAAATTGTTTTTCGTTTTTGCTCCAAAATTTCTTCAGATTGGCATCACCGAGCCGCGTCGTGTGGCCGCCGTCAGCATGGCGAAGCGCGTCGGCGTCGAGCTGGGCCAGCCGGACATTGTCTCCTACCAGGTGCGCAAATTGGCAGAGATTTTTTTTGGATCCCAGGCTGATTTTTTAACTGATTTACTGTCATTTTTAGATCCGCTTCGAGGGCACGCGGACCGACGAGACGAAGATACTGTTCATGACCGACGGTGTGCTGATGAAGGAGATGCAGACGGACGTCATGCTGAAAAAGTACGAATTTTCAGTTTTCGAGATTGAATTACATGCCGGAATCGGTTGCCAGACGCCAAGTTTCGCCCGTTAGCTCTTTTAACTGTTCATTTTCAGGTACTCGGTGCTGATCATTGACGAGGCCCACGAGCGCTCGATGTACAGCGACGTGCTGATCGGCATGCTCAGCCGCATCGTTTGCCTCAGGTTTTTCTGCTCGTTTTGTGGCGACCCAAAATCCGCTTCAGAGCCGACACGAACCCGCTGAAGCTGATCATCATGAGCGCCACGCTGCGCACCGCCGATTTCACGCACAAAAAGTGGGTTTGAGTTTTAAAAAGATTTTTTTATGGCTTTATTTAACTTTAAAAGTAGGAATAGATATTTTTTATTTAGCTTGGCTAAAATTGTATTTTATCGGTTTTTGTTGAGGTTTTTGCAAATTAAAATTATAAATAGAGTTGGCAACGAAATTTGACAACGCCTTTTTGGTTTTTTTACTGCAACCGCTGGTTAAAATGGATAAATTCAAGTTAAAATTAAGATCAATGATAAATTTAAAAAGAGAAATTACTAACGGATTTTTTAGACTTTTCCCAGCGCTCGACCCAAGGATTCTGAGCGTCGAATCGCGCCAATTCCCGGTGACGCTCCATTTTGAGAAGCGCACGCCTGCCGACTTCCTGAAAGCCGCTTTTAATAAGGTAATTCTTCAGGATTTTCGTAATAAAAAGTTTTTTGGGTTCTGGAATTTTTCTGCGCCTTGTAAAAATCATCTAACTCACGAAAATTTCCATTTTAGGCGTGCCGCATCCACGAGGAGCTGCCGGCGGGCGCGATGCTGATCTTCGTCCCCGGGCAGGCCGACGTCAAGCAGCTCATTAAGAAGCTGACCGCAAGATACCCGGTAGGCTACGATTCACTAAAAACAATAACTTTTCTTTCCAGGTGGTCTACGAGACGAGCAAGGACGGGCAGAAGCTGATCCGCGGCTCGAAGCAGTGGAAGGAGGTTGGGATTTGCTTAAAATCACAAAAAAATGGTTCTTTAATCTTTTTGAGGGGGCAAGTGTTTTTCTGTAACTTTATCTAGCAATAGAAAGTGTTTTACTATTTTTTTAGCAAAATTTAGCTTTATTTACTGGGAGATAGCCATGTATAAAATTTGAAAATTGTCAAAAAAATGCGGAATTTAGTCGAAAATTTATATTTAGTGTCGTTTTCTAACACAAATTTTGTTTTTAAATTGTTTTGTGTTGTAAACTTTTGTTTAATTCGCTTTTCGGGTTTTGAAAGCGTGAAAAGCCATGTAGAAACGAAAATTGGATTCTCCGCTCGGAAATGCTAAAAAAAAACCGCAACTAGTTTTTTTCAGGCTCGCGAACGGGAGCTGAAGAACATGAAGCTCGAGGACTTCAAGGAGGTCGGTCGGAATGCCGGGCGGAGAAAGCGGCTCGAGGGAGAGGACCTGCTGGAGAGCGGCATTGGCGGCGAGATTTTTGACGATGCCCCGAGCGATGGAGACGACGACGGGGAGGAGAATGGCATCGAATTGGTGGGCATAAAAACTTTTGCTGCAAAAGTTTTTAGAATTTAGAATATCTTTTTTAGTTTCTAGAATTTTCTAGGATATCTTGATTGGTTTTTAGAATTTTTTTTTCCAGAACTCGCTGGCGCCGCCGCCGGCAAATTGCGAGCCGCTCTACTGCCTGCCGCTGTACTCGCTGCTGTCGAGCGAGAAGCAGCGCCGCGTTTTCCAGGACTCGCCGCCCGGAACAAGGTAAAATTCGTGATCTCTCTCTCTCTATCTCGCTCTCTCTCTCGCTCAAATCTCCCTTTCAGGCTGTGCGTAGTCGCGACCAACGTCGCGGAGACGTCCATCACCATTCCCGGGGTGCGCTACGTGGTCGACTCCGGCTTCGAGAAACAGCGCCGATACGACCCGGTGAGAATTTTCGGCGCATTAATGACCATCCTCCTTAGGTGACTGGCGTCTCGCAGTTCGTGCTCGCCCGCTGCAGCCAAGCCTCGGCCGATCAGAGATCCGGACGTGCCGGCCGTGTCTCCGCCGGCCATGCTTATCGGTGTGTATTTTTGTTGCCGGATTCCAGTTGAAATGATGGCATTAATATTGTGTTGATTTTCCAGGCTCTACTCCTCACAGGTCTACCAGGATTGTCAAAAGTTCTCGCGGCCCGAGATCCTCGACAAGCCGGCCGACCAGCTGGTGCTGCACCTGAAGAGCATGAACATTGTCAAGGTATCGGAATGGTCGCGTTCTTATGCATTTTTATGGCGATTTTCGAGTTTTGGCAATTAAAAATAGATTGTTAGGGTTTTCAGTATTTTTAGCTATTTTTCTGGCATCCTGGTCCCTTTAAAATTGGCAATCATATTAAATTTTGTATTTTTTATAAATCTTTTTCAATTTTACTCTCGACATCCACAAGCCCTTAGAGTAAAAAATGATGCACTTCGAGTTGATTTTGGCTTTCCGGTTCCTTTAAAAGTCCTACTGTAGGTTGTCAACTTCCCGTTCCCATCTACGCCGGACGAGGACGCGCTGATCGCCGCCGAGGAGCGGCTCATCAAGATGGAGGCGCTGTCGGTGGGCACGCGAAATGAGAAGGTGAGTTTTGGGAGTTAGTTATTTGAAAGTTAAAGTAAATAATTTTCTATAAATTAAACTACTTGATTTTGTAATGAAATTAATTAATTAATTAATTTTTAGACTGAAGCCCGGATCACGGCGCTCGGGAAATCATTGGCCGTCTTCCCACTCGCCCCAGCGTATGCAAAGGTGAGAGAGAGAGAGAGAGAGAGAGAGAGAATAGTAATTACGTATCTAATTTTCACTATTATTCCGCTTTTTTAGGTCGTCGCCATGGCCAACCAGCACGGGCTGATGCCGTACGCGATTGCGCTCATCGCCGCGCTCTCAGGTGCGCTTGTTTTAAAGAGATCGTCAAGTCGTAAATCTACGACCCGTTTTATCGATTGCTTTTAGTCCGAGAGCCGATGGTGAACGTGGCCACCCTGCGCGGATCCACGGAGGCTGAGACGAAGCAGCACATGGTGAATGTGAGTGGGGATCCTGAAGCTCAAGCTCTGCTTTAGATACTCAAGCTGCGCCGGAGTTGGCTCGGCAAAAACGCGCCGCGCCGCCTCGGCGACCTGGGCGTGCTGCTGAGGGCGGTCAGCGCCAGCGAGAAGTGCGAGATGATCCCTGATGAATGCGACATGATGGGAATGCGGTACAAGGCGATGCTCGAGGTCTGTTTGTGGGAAAGAGGAGAGGGCAGGCTAGCATTGATTTTTGAGGAAGAGGAGAGGATAGGCTAGCAGGGATTGTGGAGGAAGAGGAGAGGGCAGGCTAGCAGAGATTGTTGAGGAAGAGGAGAGGGCAGGCCAGCAGAGATTGTTGAGGATGAGGAGAGGGCAGGCTAGCAGTTGTTGAGGAAGAGGAGAGGGCAGGCTAGCAGGGATTGCTGAGGGAAGAGGAGAGGGTAGGCTGGGCTGAGCTTTTGACGAGCAAAGGTGCGTTTTTTTTCAGGGCCTGCAAGATGCGCGTCCAGTTGACGAACATCGTGAACACGAGACGTTCGGGGGTCGACGCTCCTTCGAGCCGACTCTGGACCCCGATTGACGATCAGGAAGGGCCCGCATGTTGAGGTGGGAAATTTTTCCGGATTTTTAGGATTTGAATTTAGACAAGTGATGGTCGCTCTCCCGGGCCTGACCGGATCGCCAAGCGCGTCGACCAGACGACCGCCGAAGAGGTCCCAAAGGGCGCCTATCAATGCCAGAGTATCAAGGTGTGTGTTTTAAATCTTTTTTTTATTAAAGGTGCCAAGTTTCTCTCGAAAGCTATAGTAAGCTTGCAGAGACTATTTTGGATTGCCCTCCATCTTCATTTCCAGGAGTACGTCTTCATCGACCAAACGTCGATGCACTTCATGGAGGAGCCCGACTACGTGCTATACCAGGAGATTACGCAGGTAAGAAAGATGGGTATACCTCCCAATTTTCTAAAACATTTTTCCAAAAACTGAATTTTTCGCCTATTTTTTGTTCTCGGCTCCCTTTTCAGCCTCGGCGGGCAAAAAGTGCATGCAGAACGTGATGAGCGTCGACGAGGAGTGGCTGTACAAGCTGGCCGAGAACTACTGCACGCCTAGCGCGCCGCCGGCGGACAACAAGGGCGTCAGGTAGGGCATGAGGTTTTTTCTGCCCTTCTTAGTCCTTTAGAACCGCAGGCTGGCAGAGATTTTTGAGGAAATGCGTACCACTAAATCGTTTATTTTCAGCTACAACCCGAAGAAAGACGCGCTGACCTGCTCGGTGTCGGTGGCGTTTGGGCCGTGCGCCTGGGATCTGGGCACCACCGAGCGCCCGTTACCGCACAACATCAACACGTACCGGCTGTTCGCGCAGTGCTTGTTGGCGGGCCAGGTGTGTATTTTGTGTTTTTAAAATACGTTTTTTTGCCAGGTAATCCCCGCCCTTGCCGAGTGGACCCCGAAGCTGTTGGCGCCGCCGACGACGATGACCCGGGAGTGGGCGAAGCTGCAGCCGCGGACTGAGGCCGTGCTGAATGCGCTTATACGAAAAGAGGTATGCAATCTGCTTCGCGGTACTAGACTGTTAGCAGGGGGAAACTAATTTTTATCTTTTCGTCTATGCCTACCTGTTAATAGTAAAGTGTTTTATAATATTTTTCGTAGTTTTTGAGGTTCTAAACTGTTAGCGGTGGGGGGCGGAAACCCAATTTTTCCCTGTGATTCTCTACCGCCTTATAACCAAACCAATTCCAGACACTATCCCGCGCCGCGCTCAACGCCGTCTGGACAAAGGAGCCCGAATTCTTGCTGGACGAGGTGCAGGCGTGGCTCCCGCAGACGCTGCACACCAAGTTCCAGGCCGCCTGGCCGCCCGTCGACGCGAAGGAGGCCGGCAGAAAGTAGACGAACATTTTGCCAATTATTATTATTGTTCTGAAGACGTTGTTGTTCTTGTTATTTCTATTCCGTCGTCGTCTCGACCATTAGTGCGTTGTTGGTCTTGTTGTTCTTGTTGATTTTGCCTTCAATTTGCCCCCATTGTTACTGTTGTTTTTTGTGATTTTTAAACGGTTCCGAGAAATGAGAGAAATAAAAGATAGTTCCAATTTTCTATAGATTTTCTAGATTTAAATTATTTTACCGCATTTTTGACGTTTTGATTCGCAGGAAATCCGCAGGGAAAAGAAAGCGCAATTTTTCTGCATTCCCAAAAACACCCAAAATGCATCGGCTGTGGTCCCGCAACGTTTGGCGCCTCGCGCGCACCCCCACGCTTGTCGCTGGTAATTTTGAATTTTTGGGATGGGCAGGCTAGCAGAGATTGTTGAGGAAGAGGAGAGGGCAGGCTAGCGGAGATTGTTGAGGAAGAGGAGAGGGCAAGCTAGCAGAGATTGTTGAGGAAGAGGAGAGGGCAGGCTAGCAGAATTTTTTGAGAACTAAACGGTTTATTTAGGCGCCGCGGTTACGGTAGCCGTCGTCGCGCATCGCTTCGAGTCCAGCGACGTCTCGCTGCTGCCCCTCGTCCGCCACGCCCACCTCAAGGCGCCGAGTCCCAGTTGGTTTTTGCTCTGGTTAGAAATTTTAGAAATTTTTAAATTCTATTTTCATCTACTTTTTTATTTAATTTCATTTTTAACCTTAAATTTCAATTCTCGAGACAAAAACGAAATTTCACGAAAGATTGGTTATTTGAATTTTCGCATTATTTACACTCCATTCAAATGGCTGGCTGGGGGGATTCGGTATCTATGCCCGGATCTACAGGGCAGGCCGGCTGAAAAATTGCCCCCGAATTTTCCGGTCGGACAGCCGCCGGGCGGTCCCTTTTTTATTCAATTCCATCTAGCCATGGCTGGTCGGACATTCATTGACCGTTTCTCTCTCTCGCTCTCTCTATCTCTCTCTCGCCCATCTCGATAACCCGAGCCTCAAGGCCGATTTGACCCGATCGGGCGACCCCAACCCTCAATCCACATACACACAACCGAGTTTTGCATCTCTACTGGACTGATTTGAATAATTCTTTTTTTATTATCCTTTTATAATTTAATATGATGCTTTTTAAAATAGCTAAAAATACCTTAGAGTCTTTGTTAATTGCATTTTTTACTAAACTATTATTTTAGGGTACTTTCGCATCATCGGGGGTATCGAGAAAAACCCACAATTCTTCTTTCATATCCAAATTTCATCGTTTTTTGCTATTCTTACATAGAACTTGCGCAATTTGATAAAAAACGCAACGTTCAATTCACGGACAAAAACTCGCATTTTTAAAGATTATGGTTTAGAGATTTTTAGAAACATAATTTTTCTTATTAGTCTAGGAATAGGAAAATAATCAAAAGCATCTTAAAAGCGTTTTTAATAACTTAACTATATTTTGAAGTGGAAAAACCATTGAAAAACTTCAAAAAAGTCTAAGGACTAGAATGGAAAGGATACAGATTACTAAGCGACGAATTTTCTGATTTTTTAAGCTTTTTCGAAACACTTTTTTATAACCAAAATGTTATTTTATAATATTTATTTTTAGCCTATTTCCAGTATAAATAGACGTTGTAGTGCAGGGGAAGACGATTTTCCGTAAATAATCCCCGGGTCACACGTTATCTAGGTCTCGCGGCCCACCCACCGTATCAAACAGATCCCTCCCACCGCGCCCCCGTCAAAACAATAACAACCCTCAAAATGGCTCCCCATCCCGATGATTTTACTGTAATTTTGTGAGCCATATACAATTCATTTAATAGAGCAAAAAATTCTATGCAAAATTATTTCTTGGCCCACAAAAATCGTAAAGAAAGTATGTTTTGTCGCTTGTCTGCTTGAATATCCACGTTTTCAGGGCAATCTTTAGCCCTCTGAGATCAATTGATATATCGTTTAATAGAGCAAAAAATTTTCTTAAAATAACGTTCTAAAAAGTACTGTAGGAACGAAAAAGCTTCAAAAAAATTAAATTTTCAAGGCTTTCGAGAGAAAATAAATTTTTCTGCGTTTTTTCAACTACCGCAAATTTTGATAAATTTCGCTCTAACCCGTCTAATAGAGCAAAAAGTTCTGAACAAATTCACTTTCTAAAAAAGTACGGTAGTTACGAAAAAGTGGAAAAAATAGAATTTTCCAATTTTTCCTAGATAAAATTAATTTTTCTGTTAATTTTTCTCCGCTACCCCAACGCTTGCTTAGTTTTCGCTCTAATTCCTATTAAACGGCTAAAGATAGCTTTGTTTACCCGGTGGCTAGAAGCTGACTCGATTTTGTGAATTTCCCGATATTGCTGGCGATTCCGCGACGATCCTCTAGCCGGATTGGCCGGATGTTTTGTCTGCCTAGCCATTTGTATCGCGCCCGATTCCCCTTTAGAATCCACCATTAGCCAGATAGCTTTTTTGCCTTTGTCGAAAATCAAAGCCTTGGAGGAAACTGTCTCATTGTTCACCGGATTTTTCTCTGGATTGAGCGATTTTTTGAAACATTAACCTCGGCGCTCAAAATTTTTTTTAATCATTTTTCGCTGAACTGTACGATTTTTTGAAACATTCAATTACAAGCTAAAAAATTTTTTAAAATTAGTCGACGTTCCAACAAATAATAAAATGTTTTAGTTAAGCTACCCCAGTCAACATTAGACAACAATTTTGAAAGGATTGAACAGCTATTCGTTGGTTTTTAAAATTCTTTTTTTTCGCCTAAGAAAATGTTTTACAAAAAAGTATCGTATAAGATTTATTTGTGTAATTAATTTTGATGGGTCACGAACCATAACTATTTGAATGCAAGTATCTTTCCCATGGCAAAACCACGTGTTGTTTACGGGCTTCCGGTGGTCAGCGGCCGGCTTTTACTCCTGGGCTCTCTCTCTGCCTGTCTCTCTCGCGCTCTCTCTCTCTTTCTCTCTCTCTCTCTCTCTCTCTCTCTCTCTCTCTTTCTCCATATAGACCCTTTCCAGTGACAGCTAATACCATCCACAGACCCTCTCTCTCTCTCTCCCTCTCTCTCTCTCCGCCGCATCGTCATCCTCCACCCGACAATAGCCGCGCTGTCTGCCCCTCCCTCTTTTTCGTGCTCTCTCCCTTCCTCTCACTCCCTTTCTCTCTCTTTCTCTGCCCCCTCTCGCTCTCTCGCTTTCCCTATTTTTTCCGACGACGACGAACGCTCCCTTCTACCCCTTCCCCCAGCCATTCCCGCCACCCGGCTTCCCCGGCCCCGGGTGGACGGTTTTTCCGTTTTCTCCTTTTTTTAGGATACCCCATTTTTCTTACGCCTTTTCTGAGAGCTTGAAGCTAATCGAAATTATCTTCACTGGCACATTTTAACGATTTTTATTTAGTTTTTCGTATGGAAATCAGGAAAATTCCATTCAGTATTGAGTTGCTGGAAAATCCATGTGATTAGCACAGCATTATTAAATGTCATAATTCGTCGGATTTAGGCATTTTCGATTGCCTTCAATTTACTTAAATTTTGTATTTTTACTCTATCGCCTTAAAAGGTTCACAATATCGAGACATCACAGTTATCTTTTTCAAGGATTTTTACGATAGATGGTGAAGCTAAAAACGGCAATTTTTATAAGACGACTCGAGAGATTTTTGAGTTGACCTTGCAAGGAATAATGTTTCAAAAAAAACTCAAGAAGCAAATTTTACAATTATTACATTTTTTGGCTCGTCTATTTCTAAGAAGATAAATAATCAATAAATTTAATGTAAAAAACTCTGATTTAAATACATAAAAATCTGTTCGAAAAAAGCGATTTGTCCCCTTTTGAACGTTACGATTTTTCGATTCACCGCCATTCATCATTTTCCATTAGCTCGGCTAGCCGCCGGGACCGGGGGACGCAAATGTTTTTATTTCCTCGCAAAAGAGAGAGAGAGAGAGAGAGAGAGAGAGAAAGAGAGAGAGAGAGAGAGAGAGAGAGAGAGAGAGAAAGACAGAGAGTGAAATCTAGAAAAAGTGGCACATTTCGAAATCTGTTTGCCCCACCTTGGCGGCGCGAATGACTCAGCGGAATATGGGGAAATTCCTCGCTTAAAAGCAAATTTAAGAAAGAAAATAGCTTGAATTTTCATAGTATACAGTTAAGGTATACCTGGAAATTTAATTTTCGGCGTTTCAAACTAGAAACCCATTTTAAATGTTTTTTTTAAACAAATAATTCATTTATGCCCCTCTCTGTCTCTTGCTCTCTCTCCTTCTCTCTCGCTTTCTCTCTCTCTCTCTTCTCTCTCTCTCTCTCTCTCTCTCTCTACCTTTTTACCCCCATTATCCAGAATCGTCGAAAATGGTCGATCAGCTCGTCGGCAAGTGGGATCTCGTCTCGTCGGAGGGCTTTGATGAGTACCTCAAGGAGGTACCCATTTAATAAAATAACGTGGCGGGATTATAGCTTAAAATGGAGTGAAATCTACTTCAAAATTATAAAAATTATTTTTGTTTCCAGGTCGGCGTCGGGCTGATGACCCGCAAGATCGCCTCCAACCTTAAGCCGACGCTGATCTTTGAGAAGAACGGTGGGTGTTGTATGGCCTCTCTCTCGCTCTCTCTCACTCCCTCACCCCTCTTTATCTGGCTGTCTCTCTCTCTATCGCTCTCTCTCTCTCCTCTCTCTCTCTCTCTCTTTCTCGCTCGAAACACGCTTGTTTTTTTCAGGCGAGACCTGGTCGATGACCTCCAAGTCGACGTTCAAGACGTTCACCGTCACCTGGGAGATGGGCAAGGAGCAGGAGGGCGAGACGGCTGACGGCAGGAAGGTACGGCTCGCAAATTGTCTCTGCTAACCTCTCCAAGAAAAAAAAACAAAAAGTTTCACGTCCACAGGGATCGAACCCGGGCCATTCGCCTGATAAGCGAGAGCCTTTGCCCACCGATTTTCCGGACGTAATCGGATAAATAATCACGTATTTTAAGGTGAAAGCCACGTTCTCGGTGGAGGGCGACAAGCTGATCCAGGTGGAGAAGGGGGCCAACGGCAAGGACAGCCGCTTCGAGCGGTGGATCGAGGGCGGCAAGCTGAACATTGTGAGTGGAAAAATTTGCCTTCTTGTCCCTTTAAAGCCCAAGCCTAACTAGGGAAGTGCAAATAAAAAACCCAGCAAACCGCTTAGCAAAAATAAACCTCCAAAAGACCGTTCTCTTAATTTTTAAATTCATGAAACCGATTACAAGTGGTGGCGGGAGTACTTTTGCGGGTAGGGCACTAAAAAATTCCTTCTTTTTTTTCGTAAGGTACCCCTACACGCAGTCAATAATAAAGAAAATGTTAAAAACTCTAAATTTTGGACTTTGAAACTTTTAAAATGTCTAAAGTTGTTGACTTTGACCAAAAAGCAAAAAGTTTTGCATGACCGGGGAGTCGAACTAGAGACCCTTTGCTCAAGCGACCAACTACTTATCCACTACACCACTCGGCCGGCGGATCCCTGGATTCGAAGGGGACTGATGAGGGAAGGGGGAATTTTGATGCAAAACTTAAAATGCTCATAACTTTTTTGTATTAAGCGTTTAGCAAATTCTGATTGCAGTTTCGGAATCCCCGTCGCCGACTCTATCAGACACATATTTTTGCTAAGCGGTTTGCTGGGTTTTTTATTTGCACTTCCCTAGTAAGCCTAAGCCTAAGCCTAAGCCTAAGCCTAAGCCTAAGCCTAAGCCTAAGCCTAAGCCTAAGCCTAAGCCTAAGCCTAAGCCTAAGCCTAACCAACAATCCCGGAAATATGCAAATTTCCCCCTTTTCCAGGTGTGCGAGTGCAACGGCGTGAAGTGCGTGCGCGTCTACGAGCGCTCGGCCGCCTAAACTGCTTGAAGTCGACGCCCCGCCTCTTCACTCCTTAACTTCAGGGCCCCCCATTCGTATCGCCTCGCTTTTTTCTCTCGCCGCCTTACTCTCCCCCACAACTTTTTATGCGTTCTGGAATTCACTTGTGTATTGTGTGTCTCCGTGTCATTTCTATTTATGCAATCGGTTTTATTAATAAAATTTGCATATTTATGCGTAAAAAGGACAGTAAAATATAGCTCTCTCTCTCTCGCGCTGTCTTTCTCTCTCTTTCTCTCGCTCTCTCGGGCAGCGGGGAGGGCAGTCTAGCAGGGATTGTTGAGGAAGAGGAGAGTGCAGGCTAGTAGAGATGGTTGAGAAAGAGGAGAGGGCAGGCTAGCAGAGATTGTTGAGGAAGAGGAGAGGGCAGGCTAGCAGAGATTGTTGAGGAAGAGCAGAGGGCAGGCTAGCAGAGATTGTTGAGGAAGAGGAGAGGGCAGGCTAGCAGAGATTGTCGAGGAAGAGGATAGGGCAGGCTAGCAGAGATTGTTGAGGAAGAGCAGAGGGCAGGCTAGCAGAGATTGTTGAGGAAGAGGAGAGGGCAGGCTAGCAGAGATTGTTGAGGAAGAGGAGAGGGCAGGTTAGCAGAGATTGTTGAGGAAGAGGAGAGGGCAGGCTAGCAGAGATTGTCGAGGAAGAGGAGAGGTCAGGCTAGCAGAGATTGTTGAGGAAGAGGAGAGGGCAGGCTAGCAGAGATTGTCGAGGAAGAGGAGAGGGCAGGCTAGCAGAGATTGTTGAGGAAGAGGAGAGGGCAGGCTAGCAGAGATTGTTGAGGAAGAGGAGAGGGCAGGCTAGCAGAGTCCATTTGCCGCGTAAAATCTGCTATTTTTGTCGATGATCTGATACAATGAATTTATGCACAAAAAACAGTTCAATTTGCATCCAATTACGACATCAAAATTGCACACAAAATCGGGAATTCAATAAAAATTCAAAAATTTGGGATATTGTTTTTGGCGATTTTGGGAGATTGGATACGGTACCTCGAGAAAGACCTGGGATGTGCTATAAGATTTTGAAATTCGGGTAGAGTTTTGATGCGTAGATTTGTCTAGAAAAATGCAAAATTTAGCAGGTTTTTAATTGTACTTAAATAATGGTTTTAAAAAGAAGGAACGTGAGGCAATTCAAGAGATTTTTCTTAACTTGGTTACAGGATTTTTTGAAACATAAAAAAAATCAATTTTCAATACATTTTAATAATCATTTTTTGTGATGGGTAAATTGTAAATTCATTAGCATAATCGTGGGCTATCACGAGTCCTCGTCGATGAACCGGATGCTGCTGAACGTCGAGCCGAACGAGTGCATGCGCTTCTTCTTCAGCTTGGGCGCCTTGTGCATGCAAAGGCAGCAGAGGAGGCAGATCTGAAGAATCACGATTAGTTTAACCTCGATTTAACATCATTTAAATTTTCCCGAAACATTCAATTTTCCAGCGAAACTGAGACAAGTGAATCTTGGATAAAATAAAATAATTTTATTAGTTCTAAAAATTGATGTGAGTTATTTCGAATGTAGAAAATCATTTTAGAAATTCAGGTCCAAAATTACATGGAAAATTCAATATTTAAGCCCCATACTGAACCCGTATGTAACTTTGCGAAAACTCTGTATTTATTTGCATTGAACGACGGTTCAGTGACAATTGCCTAAAAATTTGATAATTTTTAACCGGAAAATTTTGAAACATCTTTTTCCAGTTTGAATACAAGTTTTTAGAATGTAATTTCTTTCATTTTTTTAGGTAAGATATGCGCTCTATTAAAGGCCAAAGTACAAAATTATATCTATTATTAGACTCAAATACTAAAAAACCGTACCGACAATAACACGGCAAGGGCCAAAATGCAGAGCGCGATGATCTCGGGCGGCAGCGGGGAGGTCCAGCTCTAAAAAATTAACGTTCCAACGATAAAATTGACCCAAAATACACCGGGTTGAATAACTTCTGGCACCCCTTTGATTTTTATAGCGATCATTTTTTTGAAATAAACTAATATATAATAGAACCTATTGAGTTCCATGAAAAACTTGCCTCCACCTCGTTCCAGATGCATTTCTCGCTGTTGACCTGGGTGCGGATGAAGGGGCAGCGTGGATTTGGGCAAATCACCTAAATATTGAGGTTATAAAAACGAGAGAGACAGAGAGACAGAGAGAGAGAGAGAGAGAGAGAGAGAGAGAGAGAGAGAGGACGAGATGCCTTAATTACCATATTGGGCGTGGGACGCCAGTGTCGATTGCGTAGCTTGGCCGTAGTCCATAATTCGTTCCAAATACCTTAAAAAAATCGAGTGCATTAAAATGAACCTGCCTCAACAATCTCTGCTAGCCTGCCCTCTCCTCTTCCTCTACAATCTCTGCTAGCCTGCCCTCTCCTCTTCCTCTACAATCTCTGCTAGCCTGCCCTCTCCTCTTCCTCTACAATCTCTGCTAGCCTGCCCGCTCCTCTTCCTCAACAATCTCTGCTAGCCTGCCCGCTCCTCTTCCTCAACAATCTCTGCTAGCCTGCCCTCTCCTCTTCCTCACCAATCTCTACTAGCCTGCCCTCTCCTCTTCCTCAACAATCTCTGCTAGCCTGCCCTCTCCTCTTCCTCAACAATCTCTGCTAGCCAGCCCTCTCCTCTTCCTCAACAATCTCTGCTAGCCTGCCCTCTCCTCTTCCTCACCAATCTCTACTAGCCTGCCCTCTCCTCTTCCTCAACAATCTCTGCTAGCCTGCCCTCTCCTCTTCCTCAACAATCTCTGCTAGCCTGCCCTCTCCTCTTCCTCACCAATCTCTACTAGCCAGCCCTCTCCTCTTCCTCTACAATCTCTGCTAGCCTGCCCTCTCCTCTTCCTCACCAATCTCTACTAGCCTGCCCTCTCCTCTTCCTCAACAATCTCTGCTAGCCTGCCCTCTCCTCTTCCTCAACAATCTCTGCTAGCCAGCCCTCTCCTCTTCCTCAACAATCTCTGCTAGCCTGCCCTCTCCTCTTCCTCAACAATCTCTGCTAGCCTGCCCTCTCCTCTTCCTCAACAATCTCTGCTAGCCAGCCCTCTCCTCTTCCTCAACAATCTCTGCTAGCCTGCCCTCTCCTCTTCCTCAACAATCTCTGCTAGCCTGCCCTCTCCTCTTCCTCAACAATCTCTGCTAGCCTGCCCTCTCCTCTTCCTCAACAATCTCTGCTAGCCTGCCCTCTCCTCTTCCTCAACAATCTCTGCTAGCCTGCCCTCTCCTCTTCCTCAACAATCTCTGCTAGCCAGCCCTCTCCTCTTCCTCAACAATCTCTGCTAGCCTGCCCTCTCCTCTTCCTCAACAATTTCTGCTACATACCCGTATGTAGGAGTGAAAGGCCACGCTCGGAAAAGTGTGCACAGTCGTAGCCGAGCACGGAGAGGTCCATCCTGTAAAAATATCCTTATGAAGTTTTAATCTGGTTTTATTTAGAAGAAAGGCGATCAGAAGAGATTATGCCGGAAAAGACCGTTTTTCCCGTATTTCGGTGTGAAACACATTTTTCGAGAGATTGTTTTTAGCACTTACGCATCCGGCAAATGCGTCAGCGATGCGTTCCGGAGTAAAGGCAGGATTTCGACGGTGAAATTGGCTTTCCGAAAGTTGAGGTCGGCGATCCGGTTGACCTGAAAAATGGCAGTGAAGTCTCCTGATGATTTTGAGGTAACTAGTCATTAGCTGTCACGCTCCCTTAAACACCTACCTGATCCCAGATATTTTCCGTATTATATTGGGAGTGGATTTTCCACTTGGACAGCATTTGCCGGCAAGCAGCATGCGAATGCGACGCATCCGCCCAGATGCCTTTGCCTGCAAAAAAATAGGTTTCATCGTTTTTGGAAGAGATCAGTTTTTCGGTGTGGATTATTTTAAGGCCCTTTTTCGACGCTAAAAGATAACAAGCCTTAATTTTCGACATGGGTTTCCATTATTTTTCAAAAAATTACTATTGTTTGCGAAATAATTTTGAGCCAGAAATTCCGAAAAATTGTGACGCTATTGGCGATCAAATATTTATTTATTTCCATTTGATTCTGTTATTTGGCTCAGTGAGTCAATTTACCAGATTTTGGTGACCAAAAATAAGTTTGTTTTTTGCCTAAAAATCGGCGCTTAAAATTCAGTTAATTTAAGAGCTTTAAAACATTATGCCTTCGACTTTTTGTCATTTTAGATATTTTTTGACAGAAAAATCTATTAAATTTACATACCCGAATTTTCCACAACGACAACAAGTGTGCGGACGGGAAGTTGCTTTTGCAGCTCCTCGATCATCGCCAGAACTTCAACTGCCGTTTGGCCCGTTTCGCTCGCCTCGCCGTCCTTAAAAAATGGGTTTCGTTAAAGTTCCAAAATCGGTATTTTTTTGCCATGATAACGCTGTAGGCTTGCCGTATTCAAATCAAATCCCCACTTCAATAAAAATCATGGCAACTTTATTTGATTGCCGGAAGAAGATCGCCTTATTGAAAAATGTTTCGCAATTTTACAGTGAAAAATTGGAGAGAGCTTTACTTAATGCACGTCGATTCTGGATTTCAAAGGAATGCTACGCCATAAATGTTTTTTAAATTAAAAATATTAAAGTTAAAGTTAAAATTAAAATGAAAGGAAAGTTAAAAAATTAAAAATTAAGGTAACAACTTTAATTCATTTTTAATTAGTTCTTTCGCATTCTCCGGGGTGCCATCTTCCATCTTCTACCGTAGTTTTTCAAATGTAAATAGTGGGAATCTTCCTAAACGGATTTTTTACTATTTCTAGACGTAAAAACTTGCAATTTTTTAGCCAAAACCATCGAAAGTATCGATTTTTCGGCCAAAAACAGATTTTTTTACCAAATTTTCGACTTTGTCAAAACTGTTTTCTGGTCGCAAAAATAGTTATATTTTGCTAAAAACAATATGAAAATATTTATTATGCTACTGGATATTCCTAGAATGTAAAAAAACCCATTAATGCTTCAGACGTGAAAAACTTATGTTTTGTCTAAAAATAAGACCTACGAATTACTTGAGATGATAATACGCAGATGTTACAGCTCCGTATTTGTGCCAGAAAATTCCAGAACTCACCTGTACGCTCGGGATGACGACGATCAGCTTCCACTTTTCGGCGTGCCGGTCGAGTCTTCGGACGGCTTCACCGATTTTTCTGAAAGCGATTTTTTACTTTTTGCAATTTTGCATCCTAAACGACCTCTGCTAGCCTGCCCTTTGCTATATTCATTATATTAGCTATAGGTTTTAGACTCATAAAATCCAAAAGCCGATGCTCACTTTGCTTGATCCCGGAGCGGATCGTCACGATTATTCGTCGATACGACTGTAAGGTTGTCGGCAAAGAGCCGCAGTAACCGCTCTATGCTCGGGAGCTCGTTCTCGCTCGGGCGATGCTGACATGAATCCAGGATCCCTGAAAATGTTCTCCTTCTCGCTCTCTTTACCTTTTCTCTCTCTCTCTCTCTCTCTCTCTCTCTCTCTCTCGCTCTCTCTCTTACGTACCAGCCTGGAGCATCGAGAAATTATGGGCACAATATCGGCTCAAATGCCCGATCTCGGCGTAAATGGCAATGTCTTCGGGCCTGAAAATGCAAATTGCATATTTTGACGATTTTCTCGTGAGTACTAAATATGTATAATAACTTTTTAGCAGCAGAGGAGTCAGAAACCCACTAAAATCAGATTATTAAGATTTTAAAAGAAAGTGTTTCAACAAATTTACAGGTGTTTCCTGGCTAGATCATGGTAATAGAGCCTTCTTTATTTCTTTCATTAATTATTTTATGCACTAGCAAAAATTTTAAGTAATTTGAATGTTCCGTACCCAAGCGTAAGGATTTTAAGAAATAATGTGCTTCATTTCATTTTCGATAACGTTGAGTGTAAATAATTTTATTTGGATACGTTTTGGACCCGGTGCCCCAATTTTCAATATTTTATGATTATACCAAAGTAATATTCGCTAAAAGTTAATTAGAATATTTTTTATAAATTATTATTAATTCAATTATTCCTTAATACGATATCGTTTCATTTCAGTCTTAATTAAAACGAAATATGTTTCGGACAAACGAAATATATATCCTTTTGAAAAAATGCTAATGCTTGTAGGGTTTTGATTTTTTCCCAGGAGCAATAATTATAACAAACTAATAATGTTTTTTAAAAACCTGAAAGAAAAATAATTTTTGCGGATTTTCAAAAAACAAACATTTCAGAAGATTTTTTTTTCATTTTTAAGAGCGGAATGGAGACCGGAATTTTGAAATTTATACGAATAGTTTGTTTTTTTTTTATTTTAAAATTTTGATATTTTAAAATTAATAAAAAGGGTTTTCGATGCTCACCTAACGTAATCAACATGATCTGCATACTGGGCGGCGACGCGCCGGCATTTCGTCAGGTTACGGTAGATTTCATTGGCGTCAATCGGAAAGTCGGCCGTTTGCTCTTCGAGCTCTTGGGCCTGAAAAGGGTTAATAAAATTCAGAAAAATGTCTGGTACACTTTTTCGAAAATCCTTTTTTGCCCAAATTTCTCATTTTTGGCTAACAAGGGAAGGTTGTTTGGGTCAGGTGTCAAATCTTTCTGAAACTTGGCCAGTGGATAGGAAATTGAAAACGGAACAAGGTGCGCTAAGTCGTTTCCTGCACAATACCCCTAATTAAAAAGTTATAAGCATTTTAAGTTTGTGGTCTGAAAAATGAGTTCTGCGCAGGCTTTTGCACCAATACCGCACCGTTTCCACATTCTCTTCATGCATGATTTCTTGACCCTCTCTCGTCTCGGCTCCCCACGTCTCTTCTAGCGCAATCGGTAGTGCGCTTGACTCACAATCTTTTGAAAAATTTTTGGCAAAAGTTCGAGACTAAAACTTTTCTATCTTTTTTGCTTTTTGCTTCTTGCTCTTGCAAATTAGGGTTAGTTGGCGTAAAATCCAAAAAGCAAAAAGTTGGACGCATCAAAGACTTGAACTCGATTGCAAAAATTTAAAAAGTTTTGCACTCTATGGCACTACCTACTGCGCCAAACAGCTTGCCAGTCCGGGCGACGCAAGAGCTTAAAAAGGGGGCAGGCCACAATGAGGACCAGGTCAGAATTGTCGGGTCGTTTCATGCTTTTTTTATGTAACTTCAGAGGCCTATAACTTTTTAATTTGGGGTATTGTGCAAAAAATGAGATCAAGAAACTCCACTTTATTTTTGATTTTCTATCCGCTGGCAAAGTTCCAAGTCGATTTGACACCTGACCCAAACAACCTTCCCTTGTAAGGACTTAAATTTTAAAATAGCCAAGGCGTTTGTGTCAGTACTGATTTTGCTGTCTAACCTTTATGCTTTGTGAATGTAACATTTTTTTCTCTAGCGGCCAACCCGACTCTCCAAAGAAACCGACTGGCAATCAAGGGTCAACTTCGAGTGGTGCACCTTTTAGCAAATAATCCACAAGCCTTCGGATGGATTTTGCGAAAGAGAGAGAGAGAGAGAGAGAGAGAGAGAGAGAGAGAGAGAGAGCGAGAGAGGCAGAGAGAGAGCGAGCGAATGAGAGAGTGAGAGAGAGAGATCCGCCGCCCCGAAATCCGAGCTGCTGGTCAACTTTTAGGCGCTGCGTGGGCCAAGGAGTATTGAAGCACCAGCCAAAAAAAAACTAAAAAATCAGATTTTTTATATAATCATTTCTACATAAAAGTTTTACATAATTTAGTTAGCTTGTCAGATCAAAACTATAAATTTTAAGCTGCCTTATCGAATTCATTAGCATAGAAAAATGTTGTCGAATTCGATTGTTTTTAAATAGTTGTTTGTGACAATTTTATTCTTTTTGGGTCTCCTATTTCTCGTGCCCCTCCCAATCGCGTAATCGATTACGCCACCTTAAACGCGGTCAGATCTGGCGCGTGGCGTGTCGCGGCGCGGAATCCATAAATTTCCCTTGCTTGCCCCTTTAATACCTAAGCCGAAGTCAAAGGCTAAGCCTAAGCTTGAGCCGAAGCCAAGCCTAAGCAAAGCCTAAGCTTAAGCCCAACCTAAGCCTTAGCCTAAGTCTACGCCAAACCTAAGCGCAAGCCTAAGCCGCCCACCTGAAGCCCGACGAGGTGCATCCAATTCTCATAAAATTCGCGGTCGGTCGTCAGCCGCTCCTCGATGCGGAGGATACTGTCGTCAGCATGGCTGAAATTACAAAAATATCATAAATATGAAATATCATAATAAATCATATCATAAACTCGTTATGTAGTAATCCACAAATTTGACTGATAAAATTTTGTTCGTCAAACCACACGATTGATGATATCACAATCGTTAAAACATGGGCTTGATTTGAAACATTATTTCACAAATCATTTTAACCTTATTACGTATTTATCGAACTATAAAATACATAAATTATAAATAATAGGAGAATATTAATAAACTTTGTTATCGTCTAGCTATAAACTTTAGTTAGCACTTTTTTTGTATAAACTTAATCATAAAAGTCTACCAAAAATTTTAGTGTTGGGGCTTTGAAACACGATTTTTTTCAAACCCCTCAAAACCGAAAATTTCACAGCTATTTTAGAATGATTAATCAAACAAATAATTCTTACGGCGGCCGGCTAATTTTTGTTCATAAGCCCTTGAATTTCTGTGGAATACAAGTTTCAAAAAATTAGCAAAATGTGCCACTTTTGAAACATTTTATTATCAGGGCCTGAAATTGAATACATCTAAACAGACCCCTAATAAAAGCCAATCCAAAATAAATACGGAAAGAATACGGTATCCTATATGCAAATTGGCCCACCTAAATCCTGCGAAACAGCAGAGCAGCAGCAGCGTTACGGTAGAAATGATGTGGTCGCCTCGTCGCATGGCCGCCGGCTGTCTGGTGAACGGTCATAACATCTGGAAAGGTGTTAAAAAGTACCATAAATTTGCATATATAAATTAGTTTAATATGAAAAAGATAGAATAGAAAAATAACCCAAAAAATTTAAAAATTTTATTTCTCATGGAAAAATTATTGAATTTTTCGTATTTTAAGTTTTATTTGGCGAAATTGGGCTTTTGAATGGGCCAGAAACGAAATAAACTTGTATTCTGTTTTCATACCATAAGAATAACCAAAAATTTACAATAATCTTGAGATAGGATTCTTATGCGACAAAAAAAAGAGATTAATTTTAACCGGCCGATCCGGACATCGCTATTTTTCCAGAACATAAATTTTTCAAAAAATGTTTCAACTTAAAAATGACACTGTAGAATCCGGTTTTTCAAAGGCTCCTAAAAAGGGCAAAAAAATAATGAGGAATGGGGGCTTGGCAAATTGCCGGCTGTAACCGGATACCGGAAAACCGGGGGCTTTGCAAGGGCCGATTGGGCTAAACCTATTTTTCCCCCGCAAGGCCTAAGCCTAAGCAACCGGCAAGCTGCCGAAAATCGAAAAATTAATTTTGAAAATAGGAGTAGAAAAGAGCGAAAATTACGTTAAAATATAAAGCTACAAGCTAAAAGCTATTTCCACAGTTAAAATTCAGGAAGAAATATTTTAGAAAAGTACAACAAGACGAACTGCCGAATTCTGATGTTTCAAAAAGTGTCAAATTTGCTTAAATTTCGCTAAAATTTGGTTCCTGCAAAGCCTTTTTCCAAAAATTGAACTTCGGTATTCTAATTTTCGACAAAACAAAAGAAATATAGATCTAGAGGGTACCTTAAAAATACAGTAAAGTCATAAGCTATCAAAAAAAGTTCTGCGGTGGAAATTGCTTCCCGTGGGGGTCGAGAGTTTCGGAGAAAGATAGGGGGGAGGGAGGGGCTGTTCTGGTGAGTAAAAACAGACAAGGCGGCTCGTCCTTTAAAATGTCAGATTTGTCGACAGGACAGGTCAGCTGTCTCTCTCTCTCTCTCTCTCTCTCTCTCTCTCTCTCTCTCTTTCCCTTCCAAAGCTACGAGCCCACACGAAATGACGACTAATCGCTTTCACGCAACTCAACAGCCCCGTGGCTGGGAAAAATAGTGCCCAGGGCAAAGATCGGACGATCGGAAATCAATTCGTCTAAGCAAAACCCAAGCCTAAGCTAAGCCTAAGCCTAAGCCAAAGCCCAAGCCTAAGCCTAAGCCTAAGCCTAAGCCTAAGCCTAAGCCTAAGCCTAAGCCTAAGCCTAAGCCTAAGCCTAAGCCTAAGCCTAAGCCTAAGCCTAAGCCTAAGCCTACCTAACCTAAACCAAGCCCAAACTTTTCCGAATTTTAAACTTTTGGAAAACTGACCACTACCACCCGGCGAGGGATAAGCAAATTTCACAGGGCCGGCGACCGTCAAATTGGGTTTGGAACGATTGGAATTCGAGGCAAGAAAGCGAGAGAGAGAGAGAAAGAAGAGAGAGAGAGAGAGAGAGAGAGAGAGAGAGAGAGAGAGAGAAAATTCCACCCCGCAATGCTCCAAAAAACAATTTAGTGGGAAAGGAAGGCGGAGGTGGGCCCTTAGGGGGAGGGCCCGGTGGGCCCTGCCCCACTGGGCCCCAGACTGACCCTAAAAAGCGAATTAGAAGCGCCTCCAGGGGGGCGGTGACAAAAAGCGCCCACAACATTGTTAGGGTCGACTTGATTCGGCGGTGTTCCTTTTAGCCTAATTTGAATTTTTTTGCCAGTGTCATAAAGCGAGAGAGAGAGAGATTTCAAAAGGTCTAAAAATTCGCGCACCGCCTGGTTGTCCCCCCTTTCGCATGGCTGGGTCTTCACCGATTGAATTAGGGGGTAATTTGCAGCCGACGAGTCAGCTGGGGGTACGCGGGGGTCTAGTTATATTCGCTTATTCTTCTTCTCTCTCTCTCTCTCTCTCTCTCTTTTCTTCCATTTTCTACAGGAATATCCGGCCGACTTCAATTATTCCTACTGGGGAAAGAAAGTCGGAAAAGCAGCCATAGGCAGGCTAGCAGAGATTGTTGAGGAAGAGGAGAGGGCAGGCTAGCAGAGATTGTTGAGGAAGAGGGGAGGGCAGGCTAGCAGAGATTGCTGAGAAGAGGGGAGGGCAGGCTAGCAGAGATTGTTGAGAAGAGGAGAGGGGGCAGGCTAGCAGAGATTGTTGGAGGAAGAGAGAGGGGGCAGGCTAGCAGAGATTGTTGAGGAAGAGGAGAGGGCAGGCTAGCAGAGATTGTTGAGGAAGAGGAGAGGGCAGGCTAGGCAGAGATTGTTGAGGAAGAGGAGAGGGCAGGCTAGCAGAGATTGTTGAGGAAGAGGAGAGGGCAGGTAGCAGAGATTGTTGAGGAAGAGGAGAGGGCAGGCTAGCAGAGATTGTTGAGGAAGAGGAGAGGGCAGGCTAGCAGAGATTGTTGAGGAAGAGGAGGGCAGGCTAGCAGAGATTGTTGAGGAAGAGGAGAGGGCAACCTAGCAGAGATTGTTGAGGAAGAGGAGAGGGCAGGCTAGCAGAGATTATTGAGGAAGAGGGAGGGCAGGCTAGCAGAGATTGTTGAGGAAGAGGAGAGGGCAGGCTAGCAGAGATTGTTGAGGAAGAGGGAGGGCAGGCTAGCAGAGATTGTTGAGGAAGAAGAGAGGGCAGGCTAGCAGAGATTGTTGAGGAAGAGGAGAGGGCAGGCTAGCAGAGATTGTTGAGGAAGAGGAGAAGGCAGGCTAGCAGAGATTGTTGAGGAAGAGGAGAGGGCAGGCTAGCAGAGATTGTTGAGGAAGAGGAGAGGGCAGGCTAGCAGAGATTGGTGAGGGAAGAGGAGAGGAGCAGGCTAGCAGAGATTGCTGAGGAAGAGGAGAGGGCAGGCTAGCAGAGATTGTTGAGGAAGAGGAGAGGGCAGGCTAGCAGAGATTGTTGAGGAAGAGGAGAGGGCAGGCTAGCAGAGATTGGTGAGGAAGAGGAGAGGGCAGGCTAGCAGAGATTGTTGAGGAAGAGGAGAGGGCAGGCTAGCAGAGATTGTTGAGGAAGAGGGGAGGGCAGGCTAGCAGAGATTGTTGAGGAAGAGGAGAGGGCACGCTAGCAGAGATTGTTGAGGAAGAGGGGAGGGCAGGCTAGCAGAGATTGTTGAGGAAGAGGAGAGGGCAACCTAGCAGAGATTGTTGAGGAAGAGGAGAGGGCAGGCTAGCAGAGATTGTTAAGGAGGAAGAGGGAGAGGGGCTAGGCAGAGATTGTTGAGGAAGAGGAGAGGAGGCAGGCTAGCAGAGATTGTTGAGGAAGAGGAGGGCAGGCTAGCAGAGATTGTTGAGGAAGAGGAGAGGGCAGGCTAGTAGAGGTTTTTAGCTCATACATTCCGAGAAACAACGCAAATTACCCGGGGCCGGAGGGCGTAATTCCCAAAATTAGCCTCCCGGCTCATTTTGGCGTGTATGGTAATTAGGAGCTACTGGGGGGGCAAATATGGCAATTTTCCGAGGTCATAACGTCAGTGAGGACCAGATGGCTGGCTACAAGAATCTCCATCTGCGGTTCGTGAGTTAAAGCACCCCTCTAAAATGAATTTTGAATATTGTTGAAACAACATTTTTCTGAACCAGGATTTTGTTGCGGAGTAGGGAACCGGTCTTTTCTCTAAACAGCTAAAATAGTACTTTTTAAGGAGCTGGAAAGATAGTAAAAATATTCGGGAATATAATTGGGATTTTGAGGGCTTCCAGAGCACGAGGTCAAAAATGAATTCTGCAGTGCCGTCTGCTCCAGTTGCCGTAAAAGTATTTGAAACGACGAAAATGAAGAAAAAAGCTAATTCCAAGAAATTGTTTAGTTAACTATTTGAAAATTATGAAACATATTTTACGGATCGAAAAGTGGAAAATTAATTAGAGGGTTTGGCACTAATAGGCGATATGCAAAAGAACTAATTAAAGGATTTTTCGGAACAGTTGTCTTTGCCGGTTGCTCAAACAACTTTTTTATGGAAAAAGTTTCGGGGGCCGCGGAAATGTTCGTGTTTCTGAAATTTCGAAACATTTGCGTTTAATAATATACCGTACTATAATATGAATTTTTCAATATACTACACTGGATTTTTTGAAGTTGTGCTGTTAGGTAAAATAGACTGATTTTTATGGATTTTTTTCTCAACCCTTTTCATTCTAATTTAAAAAGAATAAAATAAGAACGGAAATCACGATTTTTTTGCGAATTATTAAAGCTTTAAAATTTGAAAGAGCTTTGTATAAGGTAAAATAAGAGACAGGTAAAACATAAAAAACGTCCAAAAGTAAAAAACAGCGGCAAAAACAGAGAAATGACAAATTCGCAGCCGGGGAGAACCGCTGGGTGATGGCCGACGCGTGCGCTCCCATAATTGCGGACAACCCTTTTGCACAGTCCCGGATTTTTTCGCTCTCTTTCTCTCTCTCTCTCTCTCTCCTCTCTCTCTCTCTCTTCCAATTTCTCGAGGGCAGCCCCCGCGTACTGATCGACCCGAATTCCGTTTTTTTCAGCCGAGGAGTGGACCGGAAACCGCTGGATTAGTCATGTCCTTGAGGTATATTTACGTTTTGAAAGAGTTTTCCCAGAGAAAAGCACTGAATAACTAAATAATTTGATAACCTTTTTATTTTTGAAGTCTTTCATCGGGAAGGGTCATTCCCAAAATTCCAAGAAAATTATGTTTCACAGCTTAGCAAGGGTTACTCGATAAGTAATCTTCCAATCCACTTCGCATCGGAACGCAACTAGGAACATTTTCAATTAAACCGAAATTAAAAAAGGGCGCTAAAGCATAAATTATCAACGCAAATTTGATCGAATATTTGGCACAGATTTTTTGCCACCGCGATTTTCCGTTTCTAATTTTTTAGGGTAAACACAAATCTTACGATTTTCAGGGTTTTCGTGACAAAATGTTTTATGAATCGGAAACCTAAATGGAGATATTTTCGATTAGTGGACCAGGGAG